TATTCAACATCAAATCGATCTTGTTCCGGGATCGAGTTTGCCTAATCGACTGGCTTATCGCCTCAGTCCCAAGGAAGTTAAAGAGTTGCAGCGACAAATGGTAGAGTTGTTGGAGAGGGGCTACATCCGTGAGAGTATGAGCCCATGTGCAGTTCCTGCTCTACTGGTACCGAAGAAGAATGGTTCTTGGCGTATGTGTGTTGATAGCAGAGCAATCAACAAGATTACAGTGAAGTACAGATTTCCCATTCCTCGTCTGGATGATATGTTAGATCAATTGACCGGTTCTAAGGTCTTTTAAAAAATTGACCTTAAAAGCGGATATTACCAAACCAGAATAAGGCCCAGAGATGAGTGGAAGACAGCGTTTAAGATGCAACATGGATTGTATGAGTAGATGGGCATACCTTTTGGACTATCCAATACACCCAGCACCTTTATGAGATTTACGCATCAGGTTTTATGACCTTTCATGGGGAAGTTCGTAGTAGTCTACTTTTGACGACATCCTCATTTATAGTCCAACGTGGGCATCACACTTTGATCACCTCCGTGCTGTTTTTGATATGCTGACGACGGAGCGCCTATTCATTAATCAGAAGAAGTGTTCTTTTTTTACCACTTCTGTTACTTTTCTTGGTTTTGTTGTGTCTATTGATAGTGTTCATGCAGATCAATAAAAAATTGATGCAATCTTGGAATGGCCCAAACCATGAACTTTGAACGATATCAGAAGCTTCCATGGATTGACATCCTTTTACCGCAGGTTCATCAGAAATTTCAGCACTCTGATTGCCCCAATCACAGAATGCCTCAAGAGACAATCTTTCCGGTGGTCCGAGGAAGCAGATATCAGTTTTCAGTTGGTCAAGTAACGGATGACAGAGGCTCCAGTTTTGGTACTTCCAGATTTTGAAAAAGTGTTTGAAGTAAATTGTGATGCATCTGGGGTTGGCATTGATGGTGTTTTGAGTCAGGAGGGGCGTCTAGTAGCTTTTTTCAGTGAGAAACTATCAAGATCAAAGAAGAATTATTCGACCTATGATCTCGAGTTTTATGCCATAGTTCAGTCCCTGAAGCATTGGCGTCACTACCTAATACAGATAGAGTTCATTCTTATCACTGATCATGAGGCCCTAAAGTACATCAATGGTCAACACAAACTGAGTAGACGACATACCAAATGGGTAGCGTTCTTGCAGGACTTCACATTTGCACTGAGGCACCAAGCTGGGAGTCTGAATCGTATCGCAGATGCATTGAGCTGTCGCACATTACTCCTCACCACTATGAGCACCAGCGTAGTAAGATTTGAGGCATTTCCTGATATGTATGCTGCAGACCCTTCCTTCGAGAAGATAATTCGGGAGGTAACTGACAATCAACGACATTATTTTATTTTGCATAATGGC